GAGGCTGAAAGCCTGGCCACCGATGGTAGGGCGGGTCAGGCAGGAGACATGGAGCAGACCGAAGCCCGCTGAACGGAGGGAGCGGTCAGGTTGGTAGGGAGTCAGCAGGTCAGAGAAGTAGGAGGGGGCAAGGCCATGGATCTTGAACTCGATCCTCTGGGGGATGGGGAGCCAGTGGAGCCGGGCGAGGGTGGGAGTGATGGGGTCACTGAGCCCTGGTGCGTGAGAGTACACGAGCTGCAGAGTTTTGGATGATCTGCAGCTTGTGAAGGGAAGAGTTGGGAAGGCCGATGAGGAGGGAGTTCCTGTAATCGAGACAGTTGAAGAGAGATTCTTATTTGAGATTTAAAATGACAGCGAGAACAAGATGGAGGAGTGGATGACGTGTAGCAGGCCTGAGTTTGTCGAGCAAAGTGGGAAAAGCAGTGGGTCAGGAGATCAGTGATGGAGGCACTGGGTGTGAAGGATTTATAGGTGAGGGCAAGGATTCCCTGCTCTTTCCTCATAATATTTTTTGTTCTCACTTGGCTCCCCTATTTTTAACCTGTTTCTCTATCGTCCCGTAGTCTTACACAACACTGAAAGCTCTCTCTCTCCTCTATCAATGCAAGCTTTGTAAATCTTCCTTTTTTAAAAAATTTCCTGTCCCATCTTGGCTGTTTCATTTGATTCTGTTTAATTTGCTCCCTGCAGTGCTAAAGTATACACTTGGGGCAACTTCCAAATGTGCGTTGTGTCATGCATGCAGGGCCAACATTTTTTGGGCTGACATTTGCAATGTTTGAAAGCCTCATTGTTTACAAGCTCATTTTCTCCCTTTTACACATTCATACGTTCAAACCAAATGAAGTGAAACAACAGCCCTGAACTGCAGGCGGAGAAAGTATAATTTACCTTAGGGGATCACTAGATGGTGCTAATGTTGTACCACTTCTCTGCAGTGTCCTCATCGCTTCACAAGGTCATTTCAGACATTTTTTTCATGCACCAGAGACATGAAACGGAGACTCTGTGTAAATTAGCTACAGTCAAATGTTATCCTACATTTCTCTACTTAGACGTACTGTATGTTTTTCTTTAATTTAATTATTATTACACAACATTCTTAACAAAATCTATTTTTCCCCCATTCTATCTTCGAATGCATCTAAAATAATCCTTAATAATCATTTGCATTTGACATAACTCCTTATCACATCTTCGAGACGTCTCAAAGCGCTTCATAGAATATACTGAAAAGTGAATTGATTGTATAATTTGTGGGCAAAACGCGCACTGCTGTGTCCCACAAACATTTGTGGATTGAGTGACCGAATTATTAATTTTTTTGGAAGGATTATTACCCTCAGAAAGCGATCCGCCAATCGACTAACAACCAGAGGTTTGTGGAGTGAGGAAACTTACCTAAGGTTTCGCCCCACCCGGGAACGACCCCAGGTCCTCTTGCAAGCTAAGCACTATGCTACGGAAATGGTTTGAATGTATGAATGATCACATGGTTGATTTGGATGAAGAAACCCCTTTGGCCCATCTGATATCGTCCCTCCAGAACCACCCATCACTACATAGGAGTATTTTCTCAACGTACTGTATCATTTTTTGGAGATACAAAAAAAGATAAGCAGCAGTGAGTGGAGTGATCTATTACTTGCTCAGTAATACAAGTGATGCTCAACCGTCGTCGTCAGATGTTTCAACCTTTTTAAATCCATCAATAATAATTGATTAATGAGACGAGCAATTATCTCCTCAGAGTTTGTGATGACTTAACAATTAAGCGACGGCACGTCTTATGCGGTCTCTCATATGCGGAGAATTAATCGGTTTGTGCTCATCGCCCGATGACAATAATTTTGCCCTAAATATCTCAACATTTAGTATTGTGCCCAAACCCTGTGCTTGGGAAGCACAGACAAAATAAACCATTCTGATTTCTAGTGGCAATAACACCAGCTGAGTCCAGCTTGTAATCGTATTGCTTAGAATTTATACAGCGTTTTTCAAGTCAGGCCCTCTAGAGTGAGCCAATTTGTGGGGGGAGGTTCAAAGGTCATTCATAGGTTGTGGGTTCAAGTACCACTTTGGGACTTTGGTCTCGTATTGTCTATGTTGATGCTCCAGTGCAGTGCTGGAGGTGTTCTGCATTGTCGGATGTGCCATCGTTCAGGTGAGACATTAATCCGAGGCCCCGTCTGCCTGTTCAGGTGGATGTTAAAGATCCCATGACAGTATTTGAAAAGAAAATGGAGTTTCTCAGCGGGTCCTGGCCAACGATCCCTCGAATACGTTTGGTAAAGCTGTGACTCTTGCATTGAGGAACACTGCAGTACCATTCCTTTCTTTCACAATGTCAACAATTACTTGGGAGGTAGAGAGCGAGACTGGAGCAGAAGCAGAAGTAACATGGCGGTAAGAACACAGAGAGAGTGACAATCAGGTTGAAGAACTCAAAATTGATGTGTTGAGGGACAGGGAGCCAGTGGAGGCTGGTGAGCAGGAGGTGATGGCGAGTGCAGGAGAGGGAACAGATGATGGAGTCATGAACGAGCCAGAAGTTATGAAGGGTGGAGCAGAGGAGGCTGGCAAGGGGAGCATTTGAGAACAAATAGTTTTGAGAGGAAGAAGATGGGGATGAGGGTTTTGGCTCCAGGCATGAGATGGGGCCAGAGGAGAGCAATGCATTACTTGTATTAGTGTTCTAGAGATGGAATAAAGCAGCCCTGGTCAACAACAACAACACAAATACATTTGTATAGCGCTTTTCACGTCTGGAGTACAACCCAAGGACTGGATCAAAGGTTTGAATGAGAGCTGAGGGCTGCCTTCTATACTTCTGCTGTTTTTCATTGTGAATCTCAGATAGCTGCCTATATAGTCAATGAGCTCCATTAAAATGTTGCTGTGACCCCTCTATTTGTATGTCAGGTTACTTTGGATAAAGTGGTGTTTGTTTAAGGAGCTGATCAAATGGGTCTGGTGTTCTCAGCCTTCTGCAGCTCGGGTACTCTCGTGCACCAGGCTCCGCCACTCCATCACTCCCACCCTCGCCCGACTCCACTGGCTCCCCATCACCCAGAGGATCGAGTTCAAAATCCTCGTCCTCACTTTCAAGGCCATCCATGGCCTTGCCCCCTTCTACCTCTCTGACCTGCTGACTCTTTGCCAACCTGCCCGTTCCCTCCGTTCAGCGGGCTCCAGTCTGCTCCATGTCTCCCGCCCTACCATTGGTGGCCGGGCTTTCAGCCTCTCTGCCCCCACACTCTGGAACTCCATCCCACGGTCCCTTCGCCTCGCTTCCTCCCTCGCCTCCTTCAAGATCGGTCTCAAGACCCTTCTCTTCGACCGTGCCTTTGGTCTCCCTCCCACCTCTCTGCCTTCCTTCACCTCTACACCACCCCCTCCTCCATGCCGGGCCTTGACAACTGACTGTTCAGTGCTTTGGGACATCCTCCCGACGTGAAAGGCGCTCTATACATGTAATTTTGTTGTTGTTGTTGTCGTTGAAAGCAGCATTTTACACAAATGCAATCTGTTTAATTCTGGCATTCCAAGTCTTTTGCCGTAAGGAATGTGCCTGGATGTTGCAGGCACATTTAAGTAATGGCGAATTTCCTCATTTCTGCTTTTTCCCTTAGCTAAGCATTAGTATTTGGAGGGCTTGACCACGGGTAATTATTTTGGCTGATCCTTTCAGATCCTTGTTTTTTGTCGTAGATGTCATTTGCCTCTTTGTTCCATATTTGTCCGTTCTGTATTGGTTCCAGTTAAAGCTGAGCCACAAAGGCGTGACTCTTTGAGATAGCTTCTTTAATGTCTTTAAAATTAATTATAGAGGCTTGTCTGATATCTTTGAGAGGTTTAGCAATGTGAGAGGCCTGAAATATAGACTTCTGCTGGGCACCACAGGTGTGTGTTGGTTTAGTTTTGTTCCCCTGTGACGATAGCTAGTCTTGTATCTAGTAGCTGAACACCAGTGTTACACAGAAATGACCTTTCAGCCTTTGGATGGCTCGAAGGAGGATTTAGTAATTAATTTGCACAGTAATATCATTAGCGTTTAATCCGCCAATTCTTGTTTGTTTCCAAAACTGTTTGTCATTCACTCGATGAATGGAGTTTGCTTATTGCCAAACAACATTTTTTTAAAAAAAACCTTCCATTTTAATCATTAGCCCCACTCAGAATGAATACAGAAGTTGTCAAAAATGTTCCCTTTCGCCAAAGGTTTACCAGAAAAAATTTAGGCAAAAGGTCTGTTGACTGGAGTGGACATGTGCAATGGGCAGAATGGAGATTCCCTGCTGAAATTTCTGCCCATAAGCAAGAGATCCCAACTCTGCCGAGTGGGATGAGGGTTAAGGGGACCTCGGTTAACCTCGGACGCGCTTAAGTCAGACAAAATGTCTGGCCCCAATGTATCCGGTTTAAGCGGTGTCCACTGTATATAAAATGAGATTACTGACCCTGGCCAACAGGTGATGGAAACTGATCATTGCGTGTGACTATTGCGTTCTTAATAATAATAATCCTTGCATTTGATGCAGCGCCTTATCACGTCGTTGGGACGTCTCAAAGTGCTTGACAGGATATACTGTAAAACGGATTGACTGTATATTTTGTGGGTGAAACGCGGCAGCCAATTGCACACAGCGGTGTCCCACAACAGACATGAGTGAGTGACCAATATTATTTTTGGAGGGGAATTGTTGGCCAGGACTCAGGGAGCACCTCCCTTCTCTTTTCAAATAGTGCTGTGGGATCTTTATTGTCCACCTGAACAGGCAGACGGGGAGTTCGGTTTAACATCTCAGGCTATAAAATCTAGCGCCTTGGGACGTCCTCCCGACGTGAAAGACGCTATACAAATGCAAGAATTGTTATTGTTGTAATCTTGTTGTTGTTGAATAAGGAATATAATGTGGTTGAGTTTCCACACTGCGTCTCTCAGACAACATTCCCACCTTTCACAGTGAACACACCAGCAAACGGGCAAACATGAAGACAGTGAGATACAAGATGTTTTTTAATGGACTCTGCTTTGCATTCCCTTATGTCATTTTAAACTACACAACAAACTTTTTCACACAAAGTAGAAACAAAAGGTACAAAAATTTCATCAAAACGAAGGACAGTATACAGCAACATTCTCCAGACAAACAAGCAGGTGGTAAAAAAGTTAGTACATGTTTGTTTATGACACAATGGCTCACATATACTGTATATTGCACAGACAGGCAGCGTGACGTATATAGTTGTACACAGAAGACAAGTGGTTCTGAATTGCTGTAGCAACTGAGAATATACCTATGAATTTGCTGCCCTGTTGTATGATTGATACCTATTGCAGAGTGCAGTTTGCAAAGCAGAAACCCAATGTGGTGGTCAGATGGGGAATTTGTCGGGGAAAGGGGGTGGCGGAGGTGGGAAGAGAAGAGGAAATTAGTCGACCCATTTCCTTTGAGTCAAATCTGAGTTTTGCTCTTCATTTCACCACAGAGTCTCCCCACGCAGTGAGTAACAAGGTACGTCCGATTTTAACAAAGTGATTTAAGTGTCAGACTGACTTAAACCATCCTTTTACTTTTGCTACGATTTCTTGAATCTTGCAGAGGGTTCTAAACAACAACTGGCATGTATATAGCGCCCCTCACACAGGGTAGCGTCCCAGAGTGCTTAAACAAGGAGCTGAAAGCCATTTTGAGCCCCGGAGGGGAGGGGGCGGGGGGAGGAAGAGCGGAAAAGGATGGCACACACTAGGAATAAATTTGTTGTGTTGAAATTGCTCACTGCCACCTAGAGCGAGCGCCCATCCATAATGCATCCTCTGTACCAGCTGGGAGAGGGTAGAGAACAGCCAGGATACAAGGCATAAACAGGCTGTGTCCTTTCTGATTTCTGGATACATTTTGTTGGTTGACATCCAAAAGACCTTGTGTAATATTTTTATTTTGCATGTTGCCAACGCTTATTTACATGTGGAAAATAACTGCAGTCTGTTTTCCTACAGAAGGTCTCACAGTCCTTGGTAGGTTCCCAGGAGAGAAAGGCTATTTTCAGTCACATCTGTGCGAATGACCCAAATAAGGGAAAATGACAGGAGGGACACCAAGTCGAGAGAAAGAGACCATTTTTCTCTGCTACAGTCAAAAGTTCGAAACTGCAGACTTCGCCAAAAATCCTCTCTCAAAATCCAAATATTGCGGAACTTGTAACACTTTTACAAATGATAATTGACACTTTACAAACATAAATATTTTTTAAAACATTATCTACAATAATACCTTCTCTCTATTTTTCTTACCGCAATACACATTTAAGCAGACAGTGATTTTTTTTAAAATACTCGCGGAATGTCTTTTTTACATATATAAAAGTTTTTGAAGTTTAACAAGAACAAGGTCGTTTTACCTTATATGGGCGAAAGACCTGAGACAGTGAATCTTGTGAGATTTTAGGACCTGTATGTGGATCTCAGTGTTTTTTTTACTCTTAATCTAATAGTTATTATAGAGGATGTGTCTTATTGTTAATGTAGTGTATGCTGACAGAAAGGATTACACGGGTAACTGGAACACATACTGTCGGTAATCTTAAATACAAAATATCGTTGTGACATTTTAAAGTTTTTTTTATCCCCCAGTCTGTGTTTTGCTCGTTAAACATCTGCCAACACTCTGAACCCACTGATATTCATTCCATTAGTTAGAGCTGGATTTTTCCTATATGCTGAACAATGTTCTTATCCATGAATCTGCAGAGAGGTGAACTTGATGCACTGTATTTCAATGTGTAGTTTAAGTGCAATTGATAAATTTCTACTGAAGGTTACAGTCTAGTGCCTTATAGGTATATCAGTATATTTACCAGAGAGCCACTTTGTCCAGCAAGGCACACTGAATGGAATAAAAAGGTGACTAGTTTTTCGACAGATACACTTGTTAATAGAATTGAATTTGGAACCAACACTTGTATTTTATTTGCCAGTCAGTGGTGGCGTATTGATTTTTTTTTTAGCCGCTGAATTGAGTGAAAACTCAGGCAGGTTGGAATGCGCAGTCACTAATCTATATCCTCTCCTAGATTGCTTCTCCTCCAAGTTACTACATTCTGCTCTGGATTGATCTGGACATCTTTAGTGCAAAGTATCCACCCGTACCCTCCTCTGCTGCACATTCAACCTTTTAACACACACACGGAGGCCACCGAAGCATGAGAAGCCACCGTACATGATACATTTCACTCAACTTATCCAGCTTGGTCAATGCCAACCATTAATGCTTTACAAAGAGTAAAGGGCTGAGTCTTCTGATCTGGTCTCTCTCAAGTGAATTAACTCCACACGTTCTACCCTATCTGGTACAATGAGCAACTACCCTAACTAGTAATTTCTGCCATAGTTTGTGGGCTTTGGGTTGAAGATAATATAAAAAATGAATCAAAATATTTTCTTGTATCCTTCCCTTTTCCATAGAAGGAACATTGTGAAGCTGTTCTCCTGAGCCAAAGCTTCTCCCGAGATTTAAGAAGTACTGTCGATAAAGTGGTCTGTCGAATTGAAGCAACTGAATAAAACTCGTCGCGAGGCTAAGATATTTTAATGGCATTTAATATGTCTGTGCAAGTAAGCTGTTTGCGGGTAAGCATTACAGAACGCTGTGTGGCTGTATCTAAGGTTCCCAGTAACCACCGTTCCCTTTCCCTTTGTTCAGTTTTACCAACCCAAATCACATCGGGCTCGAAACCTGATAATTTTGGAAATGATAATAAATTGCCAACCTTGACCTCCAGCTTTGACACCCTCAACACCGCAAGATGTTGAAATTACAACCTTCTTCTCTCCCCTCCCCCCGAAATACAGATTCAAATGAAGGCTGCCACAAACCAGCACTATTAAATTCCATTTTTCAATGAAGTTGACAGATATATGTCCTGTAATGATAATTACAAGGCTCTTTAGCACTTACTGTCTCATTATTTTAGCTCATAATTACCAACAGGAGATGAGATAATCCTGTTGCCAAATGCGCAGTTACAGGGAAATTCTCTCCAAATGAAATGACTTATTTTCCATGAAATTGTATCCCAATTGTTTGGAATATAATTTCACAGGAACTGACAAACAATTGTGTTTCCAGTGTCGATCAATGTTGTCCACAGAACCATTCCAGACGCCGGCACAAAGGCAAAGAAAATTAATTTCCCACTTCCTCAGAACAGAACTGCTTAAGCTCAGCATGAATCTTAAGAGAGGTTGGCTTAGCTCTACAGCTATTTCATTCCCGTTGGGCCTGTCGAAATGACCTCTTCTCACCATTTTCAGCTGTAGGAACACAACTCCTAGCAACATAGGAACAGCAGTGGGCTATTCAGCCCCTCAAGCCTGTTTCGTCATCTATTAGAACATGGCTGATCTATACCTCATACTCTAATTTACCCGCCTTTGCGCCGTTCGGCCCAGCATTTGCCCTGCTAATGCCCACTGAGGCCGTGTCGGTAACTCTGTGTTGCACCCAGTGTAGGAAAGGCTGCCCAAAACTTCCCCTACAAGCTTTTTCTTTTTATTCTCAGATACTCGTGCTTTCGGCTGCTTTAATTTGTTCCCAAGACTTTCAGTGTATTATGATGCTGTAAGGTCCCTTAGACCCAACTACTATCACCCGTAGAGTACATTTCCACTGCAAAATTGCAATGGAGGAAATTTCGAATGGTACGTGTTGTCAGTTCCTGTAAGTGCCACTCATAAGCCAATGTCACATTGAGAGGGACTCTGCGCAGGGCTTTGTTGGTCTGAAATAGATGTGCGCCTCACTGAAGATCAGGTTCATATCAAGCCACCAGCCAGCATGACTAATTGCAAAAAACTGCTTAGCCATTAATATTAATGTCTCTCTGTACAGCAAAACTTTAATGATCACATCTTTCCTTAAAACGTACGGTAATATTATAATAATCCATCATGAAATTCAGTCCTAGGCAGTTTCATTAGTAAGATTTGTTACTGTACAAACAGAGCATCAATTTTGACTATCAAAAGTGCAATGCATGATAACAGCTCCGGAGTCATTTTTCAGACTAAAGACATCAATGCATTTTATTCTTCTCAAATATTATCACGTTGAACTGAGTGTCTCTCCTGTCGTTAGCAGCACATACAGCACTTAGCAGAGACAACCCCAGCGAACAGCAACATCACTTATTGGGGCTGAATTGTACCTTTGTGACATCCTGAATTGTATTTTCCATCTCCAATGTGATGTATTATGTATAATACTCTTACATATTAATAGGTGTCTGCACCCTGGCTAAATCTGTACATGTCAGTTATGTCCCTCAAGTAACTATATTTTCACTCCTGGTAACTATTGGTGCATTTCGCCTACAATATATTTCCAAATTCTACAATTCTATACAGGAATGTTTAATGCGAATCTCTTGTGGGTACGACCTGCGGCAGCCCAGCTTGTGTGGTAGTTAGGGAGAGAGAGAGAGAGAGAGATCTCCTGTGAGAAGCCAAACCAAAGCAGGCCATGATTACAAGGCCATTTAATGCCCTTCCCAGTTTCTCAAGGTCAAAGATCACACCATTACCATTTTCTGGCAGCTTAATGCAAGGCCATGCATCCAAACACCCTCACATCTGCAAGTGCCTTAGGGTCCCCCTGTAGAACCCCCCCCCCCCCGTGAGGTTATGAGCTAAAGGCAGAGTTTGATTCTAAGCCAAAACGAGATCCTGGCGAACAGACTTAACCTTACAAAAAAAAGCCTCGTCTGCAACGACCCTTGAATCGATGCACATTAAAACAGCCTGAGTTGGTGGGTTTTCGCAAGTTTATGATCTAGTGCCTGACTGTGGCCCCAGGTTGTTGCGTCTCCAGGCTTGGTGTGTAAATCAGGGCGACTGGCTTTCACTCCTGTGTGGGATTGCTTTTCCCCCTCAGTCCATTCACATTGTGTAAAATACAGCATCGTAAAAATATACAGCGGATGCATGTCCGTAAAATGTAGACAACTCACACGTACACAAGAGGTTGAATCGAAACATGCTGCTATTTACAATAGATTATCATCATGCATTATCCACAAGAGTTTCATATAGAGCTGCTGAAACTGGAAAAAGAGTAGAGTGAACCTTGGGGAAATCTGGAATACAACTTGGAGGTTTCAGATGGCTTATTTATTTGTTCAGAACTATGGAGGTTAGTGTGTACCAAAAAAATTAACCATGGTTTAACCCTTTGAGTACTGGATTTTCTTGCACCTTTACCCAAAACACAAATCGCCATCTCATCAATCAATGACAAATGAGGTCCCAGAAAAATCACAATGGTTGAAGCGCAAAAAAAGTACAAGATGCAAATCCTGCAACTGCCGCGACCGAAATGAAAATCACGAGAGAGACAGAGAGAAAGAGAGAGAGAGAGAGAAATAAACAGAAGAAGCCACGTGAAACTTGCATATATTTTTGCCCCGGTGCAAAATGCTACAGTAGCCCTCAAAGGGTTAATGGAGAATGGCGCATAACTGAGGTATCGATAGCATCTGATCAATGACGAGTTTGTGGAAGTGAGGGAATGGTTTCATTTCTTATGACCCAGAGCAGCGTCGACCTCCTCCTCTGGTTTTAGAGAGTGCCACTGTGCGATTGGCCTTCTTGGGTTTGCCAGCATGTCTGACCAGTGCCGGAGCTCTGTGCCCGAAGCATTGCTGCCCACAAATATCTTGCCGATGGCATCGTTCTTCCCGATCTTGTCGTAGTCCAAGACTGTGACGCAAACCTGCACTTTCTGTGTGACAAGAAGAATTGCAGACAATTATTTAGTCTGTCGTTCCTTCCGTTCGACGGCCCCAGTGGCTTCGAAGCAATTTTGCTTTGTGCAGCAATCGAATGTTTGTCTATGTAGCATTGTCTATTAAATAGTTTAGCATTTATGTCTATGTCTACGTTGCCATCTTGTTTTGATTGTGTTATTCATTTAGGTTCCTTCTGTCTGCCTTGTGATTCAGATTCAATGTAAAAGAAACTCCTTTCACCATTATTTCAAAGTAAATGTGAGTCTTTCTGCCAGTTACCCTGCTTTAAAAATCCTGCCTTGATAAGATCCGTCATTCACTTCACAGCTGTTTGCGGGACACTGATTTGCACAAATTGACTTACAAAATACAGTCACAACTATACTACGCTTACAGTAAATCCTGTGAAACTCTTTGAGACATTTCGACGATGTGATAAGGCACTATAATTCGCTATGTCAAATGTAAGGATTATTATTATTGCATTGTTGTTACAACGTGTTGCAGGCGCTGTTCTTTGGGTAGGACTGAGGTCCAGTCTGCCTATTCTGGTGGATGTTAAAGTTCCCATAGCGCTGTTTGACTCGAGAAAAAGTTTCTCATGATAAATTGGCCTCTATGTAAACTGATCATTAACTTCATGGTTCTTTGTGGATCAATGCTGTGTCACTATTGGCTACTGCAACTGCCAAGTAATAATAATAATAATCCTTAATATAATCCTTTGACACTTCAATGCAGTTCACCAAGTTTTTTCTAAAGTGTAACCGTATTTGTAGGCAAACGTAGCAGAGAATACACAGTAACTATCACTTGAGAGCAAATTACGTGGGAAGTAAATGAAAAGGTTTGACATTATATTAAATGCAAGAGTTATTATTACTACTTTCCAGGCTCCAGGATTCACTTTCAATGTCACTCGGGGCAAAGCACCCGTCAGGTAATGATTCCCTGCAGCAAATCTCGTGGTTCAACTGTGAATGAAGTGATTGACTTTGTTGAAGGAGATAATGAAAGTGAGTTTGGACTTTTGTTATCTTTGATTTGATTTTGATGCAGAAATATGATCACAAGTTCCTGAATAATAAAGTTTTGAGGAATCGTTGAATTCAACCTCTCCCTCGCAACAGCTCACTGTAACACAGAGGAGACTGAGTTTCCAATTAATCAGTCATCTCAGACACTGCGTTTGTGCCATTGTTCAGCTTCTGACGACGAGACGTTATTAATCATAAGCAATTAATGGATTTCCAAATAGAAAACTTCCAGAACAATGCAAATAAGAAAAGATGCCTGTCTGTCTACCTTGCGAGAATATCCTTAAGTTTATTCTGTTTTCTCTCTGACCTCTCCCCCACCTCCCTCCTCCCCTCATAACCCCCTCCACTCCTCCTCCTTCTCCCCCTCTCCCTCCCTCTCCCCCTCCCCCTGTCTCAACATACTTCAGTCTAAAAGGATATTTCATTTCCATTCAATCTGTAGTTTTGACCTCATTAGCATATCTATTCCTCGATGAAGATGTTATCCTTCTTACGGGAGCCGTGGTTAATGAGCCTGGAACCACTAGCAAGTTATTCTGGCGAGAATTTCAAGTTACTTTTAATGGTCGCTTCCACCTTTCTTTCAAACACAATAAGAACACTTACAATTCTAATGAGATTTTTTTCTCTAGGAAATGCATCTGATGGAGACCTGCCCCTGGGTGCCATTGTTCACCTGCCAGCGATTGCACTGAGATGAAAAGCCCTGGAAACCAATGTCTTGTTGGAGGTGGAGAGGCAATGACATGGTGCCAGGTGGACAACATCATTATGCAGGCGCTTGTTTTAACTTCTTAATGATTAGCATAACTGCTCTATTATGATTGGGAAATGCTGGCTCGCGTGGACTACAGACTCCGGCAATGACAAGTTGGGCTGAATGGCCTGTTTCCGTGCCGTGTAACTCGAGGTTGCAAGATAAAAGCTGCAGAACTTGGCCAAACCAGATTTGCCAACAGCCCCAACACTGGTCACCGAGAGGTTAATCTCTCAGCTCTGATTGCTCTCACTCTTACAAGTGAACGTGTGAATCGATCATTCCTGCCTGGACTGAAGCTGGCAGGAAGCCCTGATAATTGAATGGGACATTAGCTATGGGTTGGTCCATACTGTGGCCTTTGAGATGCTCATTCATTACGTCCAGGCTTGACTTGACTAGGATAACTCCCTGGACTACCCAATGCTTCCCTCCAAAAGCTACAGGTTATTCAGAACTCTGTAGTTCGAGTTCTGTCCCGCATTAAGCTCCATGAACCGACCACCCCCATCCTCGCCTGGCTCCCCATCCCCAGAGGATCAAGTTTAAGATCCTCGTCCTCACCAAAGTATTATTTTTTTTGGAAGGAATTACGTTAGGAACGAGGGTAAGTGTGGAATTGTTGTGTTGAACGCTCTTGTAGCAGCTCTCGAACGCAGGGAAATCTGTGTGCTTCACATTGACCTTTTTATCCCGAGCTATAATCTAATAATAATCTAATATTATTATTATTATTATTATAATCATGGGTTATTCTGTCTATTTTATGTCCTTTCAGCAAAGTATTGCTTGCACAACTGACCACGAGGGGGCGATGCATATTAGATATTTGTGCCGTTTTCACAAGATCGTAAGATTGGTTTGAATGGAGAAGTTCCTTCAAAATGCGATCCCATTCTTCCAGAACCCCTGCCCTCGCGGGTTAGTCTGATGTTTTTCTAAATCAATCTATGTTAAGGTAAACATGCGAATGAGAGCTGCTATCTCACTCATCAATTTATAATAATAATAATATTTTATACAGCGCTTTATCACGTTGGCAAGACTCCTCAAAACGCTTCACAGGACATACTGTAAAGTGGATTGATCGTGTGTTTTGTGGGTGAAACGCAGCAGCCAATTGCATACAGCAGTGGAGTGAATGACCAACTTTACTGAGGGAATTTGTCGGTCATAGTGTCACGGGATCTTTAACGTCATCTGAACCTCGGTTTAGCATCTCATCCGAAGGACAGCACCTCCCACAATCCAGCACCGCATTGGAGCATCAGCTTAGACTGTGTGATTCCGAGTTGCGAAGTGGGGCTTGAACCCGCAATGGCGAGAGTGCTACCAGTGAGCCAAGCTGACAGAGATATTTGTAATGCTAAATATAATGCCTAAGTTAATGCACGAGGAGGATGGAACTTTCAAAACCGTAAATAAAGTAAAAACTGAGGATGAAAAATAGCAAAACAAATCCAATCCGAAGATTTCAGAAGAGACCAAAAAATTCTCCAGGTCCTCGTAGCCTAAAGTTGTGAAATTAGAGCATTGATTTAAGATTGCAGATGGAGCAAGACTTTTATGAATTCTTAATTTCAGTCTTATTATTATTACATTTGCTTTGTGGCTCTTTGTGGAAACTTTAAAAAAATTACTCTTGGTGAGGAGTTTTATAGACAGGATGTCTAATGTTACACCAGGGAGCTGAGGAAGCACAATAATAACACAGCTGTAATGTTTTATAACAATGAAAATCTGTCTGGAATTTACTCTCTTAACATGCCTCCAGTCCCGTGGAGCCTCTTTAAACATTCATACACTTTGCATCTTTCCATTTCTTCTCGGTACGTCATGTTAATAAGGCACCTTCATGATAAAGCGTTTGTTCAGTCTTTGTGCAGTTAGGTGGCTTTGCCAAACACTTGATGTGATTGCCATATTAAAGCCCGCAGCTCTCTGTAAGTAAGTATGCTCACAGCTAAAGTCTGACCCTAACCATTAACCCACCTTTCCTTGACAAAAAACAGATTCCCCAAACTTGGCTTACGAAACGGTTGCTCCTTTAACTCTTAAAAGTGCTGTGAGCGCACCTGCATTTCCGTCTCGGGGGGGCAAGTTAAGTATTGGCTATTTAACTGTGTTTAATTGTACCTGTATTTGTTCGAATGGAATTTCGAAGCTGAAGGACTCATTGTAGTAAGGGTTCAGCGTATTTTTCTTCACTGTGGTTTTCTTCTTCTTCAGTCTCTTCCCGTTTGTCAGCAGATGGATCTTGACATAAGGATCTGTGAGATTTTTGTGAAACAACAAAACAAAGACGAAGTTAAGTGATCAAGAATCCGAGGCAAAATTTGATCCAGGTTTTAACAAGGTTGTTAGAATGCACCGCCCTCCCCTTACTGACTCCCCCTTCCAACCGTTTACAGCTCTTGCCCACAAAATATACAGTCAATTCGCTTTACAGAATATTCTGTGAAGAGCTTTGAGACGTCTAGAAGACGTGATAAGCCGTTATATCAAATGCAAGGAATATTATTATTATTATTATTGCCCGCCACCTAGTGACAGCCTCGAGAATAACACCGGTAGAGACTCGACCGCAAAGCAGTGGGTGGAAATCAAAATAGGAACCACAAAAAAAAAAGTCAACTCTCATGATAACAAACTCAGGTACATGTTACAGAGATACAATGCTTTAGCAATACAGTCAGCCCTGGAATAACATATCTCCGCGTAATTTATAACACAGCTGCACCATACATGTCTCGCCTGTGATCCTGCACAGAGCAGAGATGTAAACTGCCTCCTGACATCAGCCATGTCTGTTACAAATAGAACATTCTCGATGGGACTATTAACGTAAACCATGAAAAATGCTTGAGATGCACCAAGACGGTAGAACAAGAGGACGCAGGTTTAAAGGGTTGAAAAGGAGAAATTTCCGGCCAGACACCAGGAAGTATTTCTTTATCCAGAGGCTAATTAATGACTGGAGCAGATTACCAGGAAAGGTGGTTGAGGCCAGGAATTTAAACTCATTTTAAAAAAACCATCAAATCTTTTTGGAAACATCGCAATTTACACTCTTTTGTTTGGTCAGCCGGGTGTCTGACACATTCGCAAACCCATCACAACGCTTAAGAATATCCAAAGCAAGCTGCGATTTCCATGCATCCCACCTGCACATGGAAATCTCAGAGATAGATTGTCAGAATGGGCACACCCTCTCTCCGGATAGTATTAGGTGAGGGTTGGCAAGAGCTTGGGGACTCCAGAGTGTGCGTTGGGGTAACTGCTGGAGTCTAACGAACTAAAACTGCACAGTTTGCCATTGTCATTGCTGTCCGGCAAACTTTCCCGCTAAATACATAGGATGTTACAGAACAAAAGCAGGCCATTTGGCCCAACTAGTCTGTGCCGGTGTTTATACTCCACAAAAGCCTCCTATTCCTCTCTCCACATATGCAACAAGTTTCCTCTTAAATTCATTGATGCTTGTTGCTTCAACCACAGCTTCTGGCATTGAGTAACACATCCTCACCGCCCTCTGTGTGAAGAAGTATCTCCTAAACTCCCGTTAGATCTGTTGCTGCCTAGCTTATATTTGTTTGAGACTCACCAACAAGTGGAAACAACCTATTAATGTCCACCTTATCGAATCCTTTCACAGTCTGAAACACCTCTATCAGATCCCCTCTCAATTGTCTCCTCTCTGGAGAGAGTAGCTCAAACCTGTCCAATCTTTCCTAATAGCTATGTCCAATCATCCTTGGTAACATCCTAGTAAATCGAAGCTGCACTCTCTCCAAAGCTACAATATCTTTCCGTAGGAAGGTGACCAGAACTGCACGGAATGCCCCAAATTTGGTCGATCCAAGGCTTTATATAAATTTAACATTATTTCCCTACTTTTGTACTCTATTGTTATCAATGCTATTCACTAGTCACCTACAGGAGGCAGTAATAATAATAATCATAATAATTCTTGCAGTTGATATAGTGCCTTTCACATTAGGAGGATATCTCAAAGCTCTTCACAGGATTCATTGTAAAGTAAAGTGTAGTGACTGTGTAGTTGGTAGATAGGATTCATTCTGCAGTGGGAACAGATGATTGCATGATGCCCATTCCCACTCCCCCTTGGGCTCTCCCCCCACACACATACGCGCGCACACATCCCCCGTTAATAATTCCTCCTCCTCCAAACAGTATTCCATTTGATTGACCAACAGCTAAATTCATCTGCGAAACAGCCGGCAGATTGGAACAACAGGGAGCCCTGGGGCTTAAACACCCAGCCATCTGGCTTTGAAACAAGCTCCTTACAGCTAATCTGATCCAGGCATTTAGGTGGTTAAGTCTAGGCTGCATGTAAGAGGCAGCTCTCAGGGCTAAACAGTTGGAGAGCAAGCCTCACTTCAGTTGGTTGGGTCCAGAATTCACACTCAAGCTAAGTCATTGACGGAAAGAACGAGCCTTGAAGCAAACTACAGGAGCGAGACCCTTTTTCAATCAGTCTCAGCACTGCACATCTCCTGAACTATAACCGTTGGTTAAACAAAATTAAATAGATGTTCAAGCTTGGTCACTCACTTTGTGGCTGGTTGAAGGACATTGCTGTGCGCAAACTGGTTGCCGTGTTCGCTTACAAAATACATAGTCACTACACTTCACAGATTGGTTTGGATGAAGAAGGACGTTTAGCCCTTTGGTTTGGATGAAGAAGGACGTTTAGCCCATCTGATCTCATCCAGAATAACCACCCTATCATCCCTCCATTACAGCATCAAGCTGTTTTTTTTAAGTGAATCAAGTGTACTGGCCTCAACCAGGATCAAGTGAATCAAGTGTCCTGACTCGTGGAGTCCTGTAGCCGTGGAGTCCTGTAGCTCAGTGGTTAGAGCACTCGCTTTGCAAGTGAGAGACCCGAGTTCAATTCCAGGCAGAGGGCGAAACCTTGGGCAAGTTTCCTTACTCCACACATCTAATAATAATCCCTCCAAAACCAAAAACAATAATAAATTGGTCATATTCAATCTACGACTGTTTGTGGGACATTGCTGTGCGCAATTGGCTGCCGCATTCGCCCACAAATATACAGTCAATTCACTTTACAGTGTGTTCTGTGAAGCGCTTTGGGACGTCCTCCCGACGTGAAAAGCTCTATATCAAAATGCAAGGATTATTATTATTAGTATTATAACCACCGTTACTAGCAACCTGTTCCAGTTGTTAATTATACTCTGACAGAATATTCTGTGAAATACTATACTTGCCAGTAAAATATTGTGCAAATTTTTTCCTAACGGGCGGATGTCTCAAGGCGCTTCATTGGATACACTGTAAAATGTAATGACTGTGTATTTGTAGGCGAATACGGCAGTCAATTTAAATACAGCAAAGTCCCACAAACAGCCATGCAGTGAACGACCAATTTTATCTGGGGGGAGGGAGGGGGCATTGTTGGTTGAATTCGACAAATTGTCCGTCTGTAGTTTGAAGCCAATTTTCTATAAGTTCCAGCTGTATTGAAGAGTTTGACGTTGAATTTTAGATGTTCCAATCGCTGCATAAATAGAATAAATCTGGACCCGGTGGTATTTCTCCCCACAACTGGTTTGGATTGCAGTCTGCATCCCTTGCTACACGGTGCCAGAGAAAGGTTTAAGTAACTGGTGCTGAAATCAACTTGACATCTCATTCCCACCCGGGAATCTGGCCACACAGCACCGTGGAACACATTCTGGCAGGAACACACTTAGAAACATCGGATCCGAGCTTCCCAAACAGGATCCATTCCCTTCAGCATCCCACAACCAAACTACCAGTGGAAAATATTTTATACTACTTTTAAGCCTTGGCGATTTTATGAATTTGCAACTAAATTATACTGTGTCTATGTGTGTGTGGGGGGGGGGGGGGGAGAGGAGAGTAAGGGGGTGTCATGTTAAATGTGTTGAATATACACATTTTCAGCTCAAGTTTCAGAAAGCAGAACAGCAAACATTTAGAGTGATTTAATAAGATTGGAAACAGTGCACAGGGCCAAATGTTTTTTTCTGTGATAAATGTGTTCTCTTTGACTGGAGAGAGAGGAATGTCTGTGTCAAGGAATTTCATACGACCTTGGAAAGGGAGGCTGTGAGCTCCCTGAGGAGCTTCCCGTTTACTCCACACAGTGAGACTGTTACTCTTCTGCTGTATTTTCAGATTCACTCGAGTCTTTGGGATGAAAAATGCGGTGTGTGATGTGTTCATTATCACCGTGATTATCATCACTAGTTTGCATTTTTCCATCCCATATTTTGCTTTGCAACGCTTCCATCTGTAGAGTATGGTTAGAGCAATTGCCTCGCAAGCGAGAGGACCTGGGTTCCAATCCCAGGTTGGGTGAAACCTTAAGGATGTTTTCTCACTCCACACGCCTCCGTTTACCTAGCAGGTAAAGTAGGAATCTAGTTGTTAGTCGATTGGTGGGTCACTTTCTGGGGTAATAATCCTTAAAAATAATATAATTTGGTCACTCAATCCACGACTGTTTGTGGGACGCTGCTGTGCGCAATTGGCTGCCGCGTTTCACCCCAAAATATACAGTCAATTCACTTTATAGTATATTCTGTGAAGAGATTTGAAATGTCTCAATGATGTGATAAGGCGCTGTATCAAATGCAAGGATTGTTATTTGATTGTATCAACGTTTCACAATTGCTTCGAGAGGCTGCGGGGTTTTGATTGCATCTGGTGTTTGATCATTATCCCTGAGCCTGAATCACGATCAAACTGAAGAATATATGTTATGGGAAAATGGCTCAGGTGCGGTGATGGGTGAGATGACATTCGAATGGCAGGCATTATTGGGAAAAACACAGCTCACTACGCACACTGAATCCTTTTAATCACATTGAAAGTCTTTTAGTCAGTAACGGACTCCGTGCGGTGAGTCTCGTTCGATTCAGGTGATGGTGGATAAGCGCTGGTGTAAATTTTCATTTCAGGTTAAATATCGGGTGGTCCAGTGGCTCTCCAGGCTGGACTGCATGAACACACCCATATGGTTCAGGAGGTAAATTAAACACAGTACAGACCACCGTGGTGTAGCCTTTAATATTCCGTGCTCTAGTTCAGGGCTGCTGCCTCCTTAACGATGTCAAATCATATGTGAGATGACCAGAGGTGGCGGGGAATAAACCATAGGACACCGCAGCAAAGCTTTTCCAATTTGGTTTCACTTTGGAGAGCAGGGAGACCCCCGCTGATCTCTGAATAGATATTTGGGAAATTCTTC